CAGCTTGAGGCTCTGTCTCAAAAAAAAAAAAAACCAAAAAACAAAAGACATGTTTAGGTTGGGCATGGTGGCTCATGCCTTTAATCGTAGCACTCAAGGAGGTCAAGGCAAGATCACTTGAGCTCAGGAGTTCAAGACCAGCCTGAGCAAGATAAAAATTAGCTGGGTACCCTAGTGTTGCCTATAGTCCCAACTATTTTGGAGGCTGAAACAGGAGAATCGCTTGAACCCAGGAGTTTAAGGTTGCTATAAGGTAAGCTGAAGCCATGGCACTCTAGCCTGGGCAACAGAATGACAGTCTTGTCTCAAAAAAAAAAAAAAAAGACATTTAATATGTACTTTTTGAGTGCAATGCATTCAGAAAACCACGAGGAGTCTAAAAAACACTAAAGAAAGAAAACCTGAGCATGTATGTGTTTATTTTGCAGCTGCCAACTCCCAGGAATGTATAGGATATGTTTAGTTAAAACAAGCAAGAGCAAGAATAAAGTGATAATAATGCTCGCATCCCAGTTTGAAATAATACATGTAACAATTACACTATTTACTAAGCATTGACTATGCACCTTTTGAATAGAATTAATAATAAACATTGAGAAAACCATGGGGAGAGTACATACCTCACTTGTATACCCCCATTTCCCAAGTATGTGTTTATGTCTGAGTTTATGTGTATATATATATATGTCTTTGTAAGCATAGCATGGAAATAGGCCTGGGTAGTATCAGGCCATTTTAACACTGGTTACTTGAGAGGGCATAGAATTGAGGGTGGAAAGCTTTTATCTTACTTACTATATTGTAGCAACTGAAACAATTTTAAATATATTACTTTTATAATTTGAAAATCAGGAATACCAGGTCTTTTATCAGGTTTGACCTTGTCATGTTTTTAATCATTTAGAAAGATGAGCCAAAAGAACACTATGGATTTATGCATAGAGCTATCCATTAATCTATGTAGAAGTAAATAGATAGCTTAGTTGTCTTTTCCATGTAAATTTTTTTCTGTCATTGTCTTTTAAATAAATAATTCAGATATTGAAATACTTGAGAAATAATGTTACTTTTATATATCACTTACTTCAGTTATCTCTCCCTTTTTTTTTCCAGATGATCAGTAGAATTGAATATGTGCATACAAAGAATTTTATACACAGAGACATTAAACCAGATAACTTCCTAATGGGTATTGGGCGTCACTGTAATAAGGTTAGTCAAATGCTCTTTGCATGAAAGAACAAAGAGTAAAATAGCAACAAGAATTGCTTTGGTAAACTTTGGATCTTTAAAAAGCTATAGTAAATTGAATTTGCTGTTGATAATTGCTTTAAAAGATTGTGCTAGAAGGATAATCAGCTAACTCTATTAACTTAAATACTCTACATTTTACCCATCCAAGGTTAGGTATCTATATGGAAATATAAAATTCCAAGGGCATTGTAATGAACTGTAATCATCTGTTATTAACATTTAACTGTTGAACAATTGTATCTATTTTTCATTCACTTAAATAGTGAAAACTCCCATATTCTTTTCTTTCTGAACGCTAAAAATCAGATTTTAACCTTTGGCTCTGAAGTGTGGATTTTTGTAAAATATGTACTCATGTCATTGTGGGAACCACTGACCCATCTGTCACCATGGAGTTAAATGTTTGCTGACTGAGCATGGTTGATAACGAGAATTCTTCAGTCCTTGGATTTGTATATTTAAAAGGATAACTTTTGGGCCTCCTTAAAAAGTAGTTGACAGTTTTTTACTTGGGTGCGAAGTTGGATGAGTTCTTCACCCTTCCTCCCTCATTTACAGGAAATAATAGATAAGTGAAATGAACATTCATTCAACAAAACTAGTGTTCATTGGGGTCTCTGAGAATGGTTCTACTTACGGGGTGATTGGGTTGTAGCTAGTGACGCATGATTGAAGTTAGAAATTAATTGTGTTGAAATTTTTTCTGCAATGACTAGTTTTTGAGTGAATTGCTTTCTTTATGAATTCAATGTTGAGCTCGGGCAGACAGGCAGCATTGGCAGTGCACTAAGCATAATATGATCTGATGATTCTGATAGAAATTCTCAACTTCAGGACAACTCGGGGGCTTTTTGTGGTTTATTTTTTGTTAATTTTGTTTTTGGAAGGAAAATTCCCATTTGTTTTATTAAGCTAATAGGGAGTGTTTGGTGTTTTTAGGTCTAGCTATAAATGTTTACCTTTGTTTGCCTGTATGAATGCCAACTTGGAGCCATTACCATTAGAACTGGTGTTATTTGTTAATGTGTGACATTGGTGTTGGTCTGACCAAGTTTTAGGAAATTAATTTTTTTTTGTTGTTAAGCTTTAAATAATGAAGGGTATTTAATGACTTATCCTGTCATCTCCAAATTGCATTTAAGAAACAAAATACTATGTAGTTTTTCTCTATGACATACCCAGGTTCTTAATTATTACTGCAAAGCCTGGTAATTTAATTGAAAAAAATTATTGATCTTAAGTTTGGGGGCAGTTTGGTCAGTTTGACTCTAATCTTCTTTTGGCAATTTCCCAGCCTTCTCCTCCCCCCTTTTCTTACCCCTAAGAACCCATTATCCCCATGTCATCCCTGTTCTGCATGTTGATGTTGCAGTACATGGTTTTTGCCTTAAATTTAAATGATAGCTTAGATAATACCACTTTCCTTTTTTTCCTCCTCAAGAATCACTTCTTAATCACATAATTGTGTTAGGAAGTCTAAGTTAACCTAGTGGTTTAAAAAACAACAACGTATTTTTATGATTTGTATCCTCCTTACAGATATTAAAAAGTGTAGCTACTTGCCATTACTCGGTTTCAGAGAGAGCCTGAGGTAGAAGCAAACTGTTTCACTTGACTAAGAGTCATACTAAATGTTGCTCTTGGACATTTTAGATTACTGTTTTATTTATGTAGTTGGTTTTTAGTGTTTTCTGTGTTGTAGTTTGAAAAATGCCAGTTGTATGAGACTGGATTTCTTTGGTCAGCTTGTTCAGTAGTTTCTATTCATGGGAGAAAAAGGTTTTGGGGGGATGTTGAGGTAGATTTTTAAAGTTAAATTTCTTATTTGGAGAATTGTTCTGAATTTGATATTTAGGAGTGACCACTCCAATCTTAGTGAATTTGCTCATCTCTTCTAGTAATCAGCCCTGCATGCTTATAAAAATAAATTTTAAGGTGACTAAATGCCTTCTACCTCTTCCTTACTGAAGATTTTTTTTCCCCTGTACAGTCTTTTTGTGGGGGAAGGGCAGATTGTGGTACCAAAGATTGCAGATCTAAATTCCCCTTTTTTGATTAAAAAATTAAAGAGCCAAATGTCACCATTGCTATCCCTGTTTCAGGCAGTGACACAATATAGTGGCATTAAAAACTTGAGTATTTTCCAGAATTCAAATATTCTTGAGCATGTGATTCTTATTTGGAAAACTGAGAAGCTACAGTGCTTGGTGGAAGAAGGATGGCATTTGGCTACCCTGTTCTTTCTCTAATGCCTCGGTGTTGCCTGTCTGCGCCGGCCATTGTTGCAATGTAAGCAATACTGTTTGATGCACTGCCACCCTCTATTGTCTGTTTAGTGTTTAGAATCTCCAGTGGGGAAGAGGAAAAGAAGCATGACTGTTAGTACTTCTCAGGACCCATCTTTCTCAGGATTAAACCAGGTCTGAAACTGTCTCCTATTCCAACCTCAATCCCAAATTCATGTGCTTTTCTTTTTTATTGTTTTATTTTTATTATTTTTGTTTAATTCTGGAGAATGTAGATCTTGCTCAAGCACCTCTTACGTTGGCATTATTCAGACATACTTGGCAAACATAACATTACTAAGATGTTTCTTTGTGGCTTTTGCTTAAAACTTGTAAAGTTTAGAGAAAACCTAAATGAAAATAGGAGATTATGTTTAGATCTCTAATATCCATATCAGGAAATGATTATAGTAAATTTGAGATTGTTTAGTTTTTAAAAATGTATTTGGAGTTGCATAACTTAATGCACGAAATATATTTTAATTCACTTGCATCCATGCTGTATAATAAATACATTCTACCTCACCTCTTTTCTCCTTCCCTATGGAACTTCAGGTAAGTGTAGATTAGATTTCAGATCTAGTGTTTCTATAATTGATTTACCTCAGTCTGAATTCTCAGCTTCTACCAAAGGGATACTTAGCAGAGCATTATGTGCTCTGGAACTAGACAACATTGCATTCTTAACAGTGTAACTATAGTAAATTGCCATTAGCAATACCTTAAGATCAGTTAAATGAATGTGTAACCTGATGATTTAGTTTTTGGAAGGTTAGATAAACACTCTAGTAATTTTCTACATTTTTAAAGAAAATGTAAGGAATACTCAACATTTTCTTTTAGTTTTGTAAAAGTTAGGGGTTTTTTTTTGCAGTTTTTGGCTAGGCCTGGGTTTGAACCCACCACCTCCGGTATATGGGGCCAGCACTGCCCAGAGATACTTTTTTAATCACAAAATTTGCATATCTAAATATTGACACTCCTGAGCAAATGAGTCCTTAATCATTCAATTCAGTATATGATGAAAAGGAGATACTGGTATGAGTAATCAGAAAAGAAAAAATATAAATGGTAATAGGTTAATTATCCACATGTATCTTACAGGGAATTATTTTAATGCTTTTCCATATTGCCCAGCCTTATTCCTGGGACTGTACGATTTTTTTATTCAGGCATAGAAGTACCAGCTGTTGTGAGTGGATCTTAGTTGGGGAGATAGAACAGATGGGTAATTTAGGTACATTGTAAGAATGTAAATTTTTTTAAAGCTCTAGTGCCTCATTTTTATTTATCCATTCAGACATTTTACTTAAACTTTATAGCACTGTCATTTAATGGTTTACATAAAAAGTTGTATTAAATCGTTTGTTTTGTATATACAAGTTACCTAGGTTGTGATTTTTTTGGAAGGGCAGGGGTAAACATGACTCCTGGTTAGGAGAAAAATTGTTGCAAGTACTGAAAACTAAAATTACTAATAGTGTTTCTGAAGACTGTGTGTACCTCTATTGAATGGAATTTGTCCTGATTTATCAAACAATAACTCATTCCTGTGTACCTTTGAGAATAGGCTGCATTTTTAAAAATAGGCAAAGATTTTACTTACAATATGTAATTAGTAAAAATCCACAAAAAAAGCAGTTTGACCAACCACAGAATTTTCCTGTGTTTTTGCACATACAAGCCTATAAAAATACATTATCTTATGTTTATTTGGTACTGATTTTTTTTTTTTTTGGAGACAGAGTCTCATTATGTCACCCTCAGTAGAGTGGTATAGTATCACAGCAACCTCAAACTCTTGGGCTTAAGTGATTCTCTTGCCTCAGCCACCCAAGTAGCTGGTACTATAGGCGCCCACCACAATGCCAGGCTATTTTTTATTGCAGTTGTCATTGTTTTTGTTTTTTAGCTGGCTCAGGCTGGGTTCAAACCTGCCACCCTCCGTGTATGTTGCTGGTGCCATAACCTCTGTGCTACAGGTGCTGAGCCTCTTGTTTGGTTTTGTCTTTATTTTATTTATTTTTATTTTTTATTTTTTTGTTTTGCAGTTTTTGGCCTGGGTTGGGTTTGAACCCGCCACCTCCGGCATATGGGACCAGAGCCCTACTCTTTTGAGCTACAGGCACCGCCCTATTTTTTTGTTTTTGAGACAGAGTCTCACTGTGTTGCCTTGAGTACAGTGCTATGGCATCACAGCTCACAGGAACCGCAAACTCTCGGGCTTAAGTGATTCTTTTGCCTCACCTCCCGAGTAGCTGGGAGTACAGATGCCCTTCACAATGCCTGGCTGTTTTTTTTTTTGTTATTGTTATAGTTGTCATTGTGGTTTAGTTGGCCTGGGTCGAATTTGAAGCCACCAACCTTGGTGTGTGTGGCTGGCACTGTAACTGCTGTGCTACAGGTGCCAAGCCTGATTTTTGTCTTTATGTATTAACAGCCTTTTGGTTATATCCTTTGTAATCAGTGGTTGTACTAAGTACATCCATTATGTGTTAATATTTGTATTTAAATTCAGCGTATACAAAGAGCTACTAAAGAAGCATGCTTAGTTAACCTGAAGGTAATGAACTACCAAGATATATTTATTTTTACTTTAAGTAGTTTTCCCTTCATTTGTTACTAAGACTAGGATACCTTTGTTCATCAGTGACTTTTTTCCCGAGTTTTCAGTTTTTATAAGAGAAAATTAAAGATTGTTTTATTTGCTTCATAGTTTCTTGTTCTGTTATTAAAGATGGAGATACTTCAGAAGAAATTCCTAAGTATACATATTTTTCATTTTCTTGATAAATAAAGTTTTCTGAGATTTGTGGAAGGAAAGAACTCTCCAATAAACACTGAATTTCTTCAAAGCAGTCTTCCTTGTGGGAAAGTATGTGGTTACTGAGTTAGAAATGGAGCTATTGAATATAGATTTAGACATGAATGAAATTATTAGACATACTCATATCAGAGCTCTTCCCTTTTTCTCTTTCATTTTGAAGTTCTAAAGGAAGCAATCCCAGAAAATATCCCCTAGAGGAAATTCTCTGTACTAATCATTGTTGATTCAAAATCCACATATTTCTTAGGTATACAGTTAATTTTAAAATAACATGTAGTTGCATATCCTTTGCATTTATTTTTCCCTTATTTTCTTTTCTGATTGAATCTATAGACCTTAATCATAGTTTTTGTTTGGCTTAACAGAAGTATAATTTGCTCATTTTAATACTTGTGTGCTGAGCTGGTATCTTACCAAGACATAGTGTGAGCTTTATTTCTTTTAGTATTTTATAATACTAACTTTCTTAAAATTACCTCATTGATTGGGAAAGAGGTTTAACCTAATTGAGAGTTTTCATTATCCAGTTACATTTACACATTGATACAACCCCCCCTTGTAATAATTTAATCTTATTCTTTTTATAGTAGATCAAGTAAAAATAAGTATCTCATTGTATCTTGTATTTTTTTTATAAAAATAGTTTTTTTTTCTTTTAAAGTTTTAAATTCTATAGCGTAAACTTGAATTACTTGGAAAAATTAACTACATTTTAATTGGTTGCCTTATTCTTTGGGTACCATGTAGATGAGATGGTTTGTACTCATCTGTCTCTTCTCAACTGTTGTAGACCACCTTAATTTAAATGCTAAATGCCTTTTAAAAAAGATTTTTATGTCAATTTATTACATTTTCCAGAATTTTAACCTGATCACATGCATAATGTCAGTGTTTTTTATTAATAAAAAGGCTTGGTTTCATTGGCAATAATCCAACTTTCAGATTATCAGTTTTAGGTAACAAGCATTTGTTGGCATACTAAAAAAATGGCCTTTGTAGGAAGGTAGAGTTCTAGATAGCTTATGTCTAGATTTTTATCATGCTTGTTTATCAGTAACAGGCTGTCAGGTATAATTGTGGCAAACAGCACACTTGTCAATTCTGCTATCAGGCATGTGTACATTTCTCCACTTATTTTATAAAGACAGTCTTCTGAGTGCATAGTAATCTGGACCTATGAAGTTTGCAAATGACAAGGATAAACTATTAGACTTAACTATATTTTTTCAACTTGATCTATTGATGAAGACTAGTAAAAGCTTATGGGTGTATTAAATGTGTGGGTATCTGTTCTACTTATCAGTACTCCATTTTGATATTATATGAGTATACGAAATAGATGCCATTTAATGAATAAGGAACAGTTCAGTGGAACAAGGTTGGGAACCTAATGTCTATTTTATTTCTCTTTTCAAAGTTATTCCTTATTGATTTTGGTTTGGCCAAAAAGTACAGAGACAACAGGACAAGACAGCACATACCATACAGAGAAGATAAAAACCTCACTGGCACTGCTCGATATGCTAGCATCAATGCACATCTTGGTATTGAGCAGAGGTGAGTTTGAAAATTGAATGGACTTGTATCCATAGTAGAAACCATTAACAGGTGTTTGAAGTATTTGGACTAGTTTCTTCCAATTTCCAAGGATTGAGGATTTGAAGGCTGCCTGTTAATCATTTTATCTGCTGCTTCAGCCAACATAGAGAAGCCAATTAAATGAGATTTTTTCTTTTTAAGATTGTTTCTTGGGGAGAAAATATTACATGACAGAAAATTAGAAGCATATTTTAGCAGCTCATGATAGTACCTATTTTTTTAAATACTGATCTTGTGCTTTTTACATGTATATTATGATAAATAAGTTGAATTTTGGGAAGAAATGTATTGTTTATTTTTACAAGGGAAAAACACTTGAGGCGCAGTGGCTCGTGCCTATAATCCTAGCACTCTGGGAGGTTAGGGCAGGTAGATCACCTGAGTTCAGGAGTTCCAGACCAACCTGAGCAAGACCAAGACTTCATCTCTACTAAAAATAGAAAAACTAGCCAGGCATTGTGCAGGCACCTATAGTACATGAGTTCTGCATATACTTTCAAGTTCTCTATACCTTAAAACAAGCATAAAGTAATAAGATTTGCCTCCAGGTTAGGAGACCTCATGAAAAGAATTTTCTTCCTTTTTCTTCTCTTAATTTTTTTTTAAAGCAGCAAGGTCTCACATATCACTGCAGCCCTAAACTTTGGGGCTTGAGCAATCCTGCCTCAGTTTCATTAGTCACCACCTCTGGTTTCTCATGGGAAAAATTTCAAGCTTAGGAAACACTCATGAATATTTGAATACTCTGGTTTAAGCTATGATATAATATATTATTTTATTGTATGCTAAAGTATTGCCTGTCCTTAAATTTATGTGTACATTTGTATATATGTATATACATATTCATATAGATGTAGATTAACTGTAAAATATTAGCTAATTTCAGCATTTCTAAAGTTATTTTAATGTGCTTCTGCAAAACTTAGAATTATCCTGTTTACTTGATTCTTCAGTCTTCATTAACCTCATTTAGAGAGATTAGTTAAATCCTTTATTTTTTAAAAACTGAATTATAGGTTTGGCCCCCATAGCACAGTGGTTACAGCGCCAGCCACATGCACTGAGGCTGGCTGTTCAAACCCCGCCCCAGGCCAGCTAAACAACAGTGACAAGTGCAACTATAATCCCAGCTACTTGGGAGGCTGAGGCAAGAGAATCACTTAAGCCCAAGAGTTTGAGGCTGCTGTGAGCTGTGATGCCACGGCACTCTACCGAGAGTAACATAATAGACTCTGTCTCAAAAATAAAAAAACTAAATTATAAAACAGTTGGTTTAGCTAATTTTGGAGTTTGTGAAAAGTTGGGATAAAGATAACAAGTCAGCTTTTTAAATACTTTAAATGCTTTTTGCATAGGTACCAAATAGCTCTTTTTCTTCCTTTGGGAAACTTTCTTCACTGTATTTAGCTTTCTTTCATGTTTTCCGTAATAGCCAACTTCATAAAATTATGTTTTCTTTTCTAGTCGCCGAGATGACATGGAATCATTAGGATATGTTTTGATGTATTTTAATAGAACCAGCCTGCCATGGCAAGGACTAAAGGTAAATTATACTTAAGATACCAGTTTTGAGGGTTTTTTTTTTTTTTCCTTAAAGAATAAAAATATATATTGGGGCCCAGCACAATGGCTCACACATGTAATCATAGCACTTTGGGAGGCTGAGACCAGAGGATTGCTTGAGCTCAGGAGTTCAAGAGCAACCTAAGTAAGAGCAAGGCTCCATCTCTACTAAAAATAGAAAAATTAGCCAGGTCTTGTGGCAGGCACCTGTAGTCCCAGTTACTTGGGAGGCTGAGGCAGGAGGATCACTTGAACTTAGGAGTTTGAAGTTGTTGTGACTAGGCTGAAGTCATGGCACTGTGGCCTGGGGTAACAGGGTTAGACTGTGTCTCTTAAAAAACGTGTGTATAGGCTCGGCGCCTATAGCTCAACCGGCTAAGGCGCCAGCCACGTACACCTAAGGTGGCGGGTTCGAATCCCCAGCCTGGACCCGCCAAACAACAATGACGGCTGCAACCAAAAAATAGCCGGGCGTTGTGGCGGGCGCCTGTGGTCCCAGCTACTTGGGAGGCGGAGGCAGGAGACTCGCTTGAGCCCAGGAGTTGGAGGTTGCTGTGAGCTGTAATGCCACGGCACTCTACCCAGGAGAACAGCTTGAGGCTCTGTCTCAAAAAAAAAAAAACGTGTGTATATATATGTGTGTGGGTATACATATACAAAGATAAAATTTAAGATTCCATCCAATTCTGAGATGTTTGTAAGACTGTGCTAACTTTAATTTACTTTTGTCTTTTATTTGGGAAAATAAAACCTAATCATTTCAATAAGAACTTACTTAATAGAAGCCTACCATCTCAGCTGAAGAACAAGTTTCCTTGGAACACAGTAAGCTGGTACCTCTTGGTAACCACTAGCTTTATCTAGATCAGTGGTTCTCAACCTTTCTAATGCCACAGCCCTTTAATACAGTTCCTCTGGGTCGTGACCCACAGGTTGAGGACCACTGATCTAGATGGAAATTGATATCTGTTGCCATTATGTTGAAAGTGTGTATTTATATGTATAGTATAACTTATTTATCCAGCAGTACCAATTATATTATTTATGCAATTATCTATCCTAACATTTTGTTTCTATTAACCAAGAGTTTCATACTACTTTTGTATGTAATGATAAATCACTGTGTCTTAGAATTTAATGTCTATTTGATACTTTGTTGGTCAGAAAAAGTATCTGTATTTATTGAGGGGTTGTGGGCTAGGCACAGTGCTCAGTTCTTATGTGGATAGCTTTATCCAATGAGTATTTTTACATTGGAAAACTATTGTTATTTATGCATTTAACTTTAGTTATTAATGTCATTAAATAATGAACACATTTTTGTATTAATCACCTTTGCCCTTATATTGATCATAGATTAGGAAAATGTTCTTCAGCTGGGTATGGTGACATGTTCTCTAGTCCCAGGTGCTTGGGAAACTAAACTGGGAGGCTCTATTGAGGATAGGAATTCAAGGCCTCTGTGAGCTATGATTATGAATAGCTACTGTGAATAGCCACTGCACTACCCCCAGGCAACATGATGAGACCTCTGCTTTAAAAACAACAAAAAAGAAAGTTAGAAAATGCTTTCCAAATGTGACACCACCAATTTTTACTTAAATCTCACATCCTGTTAATGTAATTTGACTCACCCTTTCCTAATAGCTAAAATTATGTTCTTGAAGTAGATACATCAAAAATTACCTAACAGTTCAGGGGGAAAATCTATCAATGTATTTTGATTTCTTTTTAATTCTGGATTAAAATTTCTCTTAAGGCTCGGCGCCTATACCTCAGTGGCTAGAGCACTAGCCACATACACAGGAGCTAGCAGGTTCAAACCCAGCACAGGCCTGCCAAACAACAACTACAACCAAAAAATAGCCGGGTGTTGTGGTGGGCACCTGTAGTCCCAGCTACTTGGAAGGCTGAGGCAAAAGAATCGCTTAAGCCCAAGAGTTGGAGGTTGCTGTGAGCTTTGTGCCACATCACTCTACTGAGGGCAACATAGTGAAGCTCTGTCTCCCAAAAATAAGTAAATAAATAAATAAAATTTCTCTTGACCCTCAAGTATGTGTCTGTGCTTATATGTCTGATGTGTTAAACTTAATAAGGTTCTACTAAGTATTGTTGAGTATATCTTTGTGATTTGATTCTGTAGGCTGCAACAAAGAAGCAAAAATATGAAAAGATTAGTGAAAAGAAGATGTCTACTCCTGTTGAAGTTTTATGTAAGGTAAGTTGCATGATGAATTATTATTGAAAAATATAAATGATCATCCAAAAACAAAAAGAAGCATTTTACTTGCTAGCCCTGGAGCTTAAACATCCTCATAGATAACTTACCTCCCATTTTATATTTACGTTTTGATTATTCTAAATATTTTTATTTAACAAAGGCTTGAGCATATGAGTCATTTTAAGTTAAATGTTTTATGTTTCTGGTTCGTTAGGGCTCTCTTTTAAGATTGGAAGAAAATTAAAAATTGCGCAGGCAGTTAACCATTTCCAACAGATCTATATTACTTGATGAGAAAAATTAATAATATCCCAAAATTTGTGCCATAAAATAAGGGATATCAGCAATTGATACATAAAAGAATAGAGAAATAGGTGGACAGATTGGAGCAATCCAAAACAGCCCAAGAGTTGGAGGTTGCTGTGAACTGTGACGCCATAGCACTCTACCGAGGGCCAAAATTGTCCAGAAATCCAGGATAAATACAGAAGACAGTTGGAATCAGACTCATTTCTTTGGAACTTTGCACTTTATAGAAAGGCAAGTGAGTTTAGAATGGAGAGGTATTTGTCAAGAAGACTAACCATGATCTCTTCCGTAGAAAGAAGGCCATGTGGTCTAATTTGAGATAAGAAAAAGTCGCGTATACCTGAAATTAATTAGAAAACAGTATACAATTAAATTTTTGAGTGATGGAATGAATTAGTGAGAGTTAAAATAGTGCTTTATGGAAGAAGGGTAAGTGGAGATAAACTTTATGCATCTCCTCACCCACAAATTTGCAAGTCCTGTTGAGAGCTTTTTAAAAACTGTATAACATATCTATTTCAGTTTGTTGGTTACCCAACAAATGAAATAAGTGTAACAGTGTTTGTAAACATTAAATCTATTTACATCAGTGCAATCAATGAAAAATGTTGTAAGTATTTTTATCCTGTCCTGCTGTGACTCCAGAATGTTACGTTTTTTAGGTTGTGGGAAGAGACTACCTACTTTAACTTACCTCTCTTTCCACATTTGCATTTACCACAGGAGAGGTGATGTAGGAGCTTATAAACATGTTTTAATACTTTGTATTTCTTCATTGGTGCTGGCAGAATCCTTTCGGTGACTAATGTCAAGAGCCCTAAAAATGTTTATACGTCTTTGAGAATTGTTCCTAAGAAACTAAATGTGGAAAAAAAGTTGTGCCCACAGATGTTCTTAGCAGTATTATTAATAATAGAGAAAAATTAGAATCTACCTAAATGTTCAATTATAGGGAACAAGGTAATTAGAATGGATTAACGCAGACTGTTATGCAGCCATTCAGATGTTTATAAAGAGGTGGG